CCATAATGCCTTTAGTAGGCAACTTGTAAAGCTGGCTTCAAATTTCTGCTATCTAAAGCAAAGCATAAATAGTAGCATGCTGCATACTTGCACAATATATCTTTTCCTCAGAACATTTTCTAGAAGACCTGGAAACTACTCAGACACTCGCCGGGGGCAGGCGGGCACCGGAAAGATAGATTGCTGATCTCTCGCACCCCGCTCGCGAATTTTTTGGAAAGCAATCAGGACTTTTCGGAAAACCGCTTGCTGAGTTCTCGATTCCTCAGAGATTCAGCAATATATCTGCAAAAGATAAAAGCGAAAAAAAATTCAACAGGCGGTCTCTCAAAAATCCGCTGACTCAGCAAGCGGTCTTCCGAAAAGTCCTGATTGCTTTCCAAAAAATCCGCGAGAGGGGTGCGAGAAACCAGCAATCTATTTTTCCGGTGCCCGCCTGCCCCCAGTGATTATCTGAGTACTTTTCTCCAAAACTAAAGAAGCTTTCAAAGACGAACTTCGGGTTGGCCAAGATGGTCAACCGCTCAAACCACACCTCTATCAAGTGACAAGCCATGCCAAGGTTCAAAGATATTCGAACATGGGCAATACTGAAAGACCATAATGTATGGTCCATAGATTGCCAAATACTCCAGGGGCGCTATGTATCAATCTCAGGATCGTGTGCTGGTTCAAGATCTGGCAATTACACGATCTTGAACCAGCACACGATCTGCCGAGGCGCCCGTGATGTATGAATGTGTGCACAAGATCGTGTAATTACACGATGTGCGGTGTCCGTGTGCGCCAGGGAACCCGGACTGGCGCATAGCGAGTGACCGTGTTGGCGTCAACGCAAAGTGACGCCGTTCATTCATTTCTCGCAATACTTTGAGTCTAATGCCTCTTTTCGCGTCGAACTTTTTCATTTTTTCTTGTTTGCCCATGTTTTTGTATCGCCAGGGTTTTTATATCAATTTGCATTGTTCTAGCTGAAAATTTTGCATGATCACATTGGTGCAAATTCCATGCTCCTCACTCCTTTTATGCATTATCACTTAGCATACGTTTTTTCACATTTGCACTACGCAGCAGCCTTCGTCTTTGGAAATTTTGCAATTAGGAATTTATTTAGACTTGGACGATAGTACGAAAAATGCAAGAAAATATAAGAAGATGCGCATGCAAAAAGTAGTAGCCGCTGGTGGTGTCCATGAGAAGACCTTTTTCTTTAGTATTATGATTTCGTTATGTATTCGTTCTAATATGCACATAAAAACCGTCAAAATTGAGATAGATATAGGTTTGTCATGAGTGATGCAATTTTCCATGACATCAACATACTTTTCCATGAATCGCCCTTACTTCGTAAATTCCTTTCATTGATTGCCTATCCATGGGCAGTGTTGTCGCGTTCGCCCCTTGTCGTCTTCATAGCCCCGTGTTCCCTATGCTATCGATTTATTGATTGTCTTTGCATTGCAGACTTCGAAGCTAAGCGAATAGCTGTGAATCGTCTCAGCTTTGCGATCAAACAACAAACGAGCAGTCAAGTGCTCACGCGTAATAAGTCGTTCGTTTTCTACCCCGCAATTGACCGTATTGCACGCTCCGAGGGAGAGAGCGTGTATGGACGACGAGTTTGACTGTCCCACAGTGATACCGAAGATTCAGCGTGAAGAATCTAACGAGCCTTCTACGACCCTTAGCGGGCATCTTGAATTCTTTGTTCCATTTTTTGTAGGTTTTGATCTTTGGGGCCTTCATTCGCTCCCGCTGAGTTTTCCGCCGATTGCGTAAACAGATAATGCCGAGAGGGTGGATGAGGAAAGCACAGTAGTAAGCGTGGTCACGCAATGGTCGATTCTGTTTTCCTATAAGTTCAGTTTATCAGTTTTTTTTGCAGTTTGGGGAGGTTTTATCGTTCTAAAACTCATTGGCAATGATTTTCTCTAGGCCAGAAAAAGCTCAGTTGATCCAGTAGAGCAGTTCGATATAAACTCGATATAGAGTGCTACGGTGAAGACAACGTTTGCGCGAAAAGAAATGCCATGTTTGTGAATGCTCACAACTTGCTTGCAACTGTCGCGTGAAAATTGGCCATAGAGTGCACATCCTTATTGTTTACGCTCAAATGTTGTCGTCATCGCAAAAACGCTAAATCAAGTTGGCTATGTACTTCAGTTTTCTCAGGCGAAGTTGCAAGCATACCTGAATAATTTGCATTTTTCTTATTAGTATGAACCCCCATTAGCACGCATTATCTGCTTTCCAAAGGACCTGATTCGAGTTCAGTCTCAATTCCTGCCCAACGAGCACATGTGGCTCTTAGGAGAGAGTTGAGGTAGGTGCCAGATGCAAGAAGGTGCAAGCAAGCAGTCCTACCTCAACTCGGGTCTAGGTCTGCTAGACGCGTTCCTTAAAATAATGGCGCGTAGCAGTGTAAACTCTTCTCCTAGTCGATTTTATCGGCTCTCCGATGTCATAACTTGGTTTATTCGAGGTTTTGCCGAATCAGTTTCATAGATCCACGTAATTCCTCAGAGTTCTTGAGACCGCTTCTGCATGAACATATATTTATTACACAGTAAATACATATATCTGATATTTCTAACTTTGTAGAGCTTCAAAACATTTAGCAAGAAAATGTTAGGGTGCTTTCATACCGCGCCGGCAGCCGCCGCTAGCAGCCCATAGCAGCCCGCAGCAGCCGCCAGCAGCCCGTAGCAGCCCGTAGCCGCCGCTGGCCGCTTTTGTTACAGAGGCGCAAAAACACTGAAATCTTACTACTTTGAGTGCTACTGCCTACGCTTTCATCTTCCACGCATTTTCGTTGCCGCTAGTGTGTAGTTCGAAAATGAAAAAAAAAACAATTTTACATTTGTGTTCATTGTTCTGTTACCGCGCATGCATCCTACCCGTACCCACATTTCAATTTTGCAATCTGTTTTGTGTAAGACGTATGAGCCATTGTCAAAGTCAGAGGAACCCATACCGCGAATTAATCGGCGAGCTTGCGAAATAGTAGAATGCAATTCAGATATGCACCGATAGCCAAGAAGAAGATTGAAGCGAAAGCATACTCAAAAAGTAAACAAATCGCACACCTGCAGGAAGTGAACGCATCCAGAGTAGAGGAAAATCATCCAGGAAAAAGATTTCTGCAAACTGTGGTTCAAACAGGATGACCGTACGGTGACAAGGTGATGAGATGGACACGAATATGATGTGTGAGATCAAACTATCCACTGGTGCAATAGAGGAAAAGCAAGGAATGCGAAAAGCAAAGCAGGAGCACTCAAAGTAGTGTTCTGATGATTCTGCGCTTCTACAACAAAAGCGGCCAGCGGCGGCTACGGGCTGCTACGGGCTGCTGGCGGCTGCTGCGGGCTGCTGGCGGCTGCTACGGGCTGCTAGCGGCGGCTGCCGGCGCGATATGAAGGCACCTTTAGTGAAAAACTTCAGCAAGACATAAATGAGATAGAATCACAACAATATATGTAAACAAATTATGTAAAAGCACTAAATGCACAGTCTGTTCGCCTGACTATAGGCATGCTAGCGTCTGCTTGCTTATGCACAGACGTTGCTATTAGAAAAAAACCGATAGGAAACCGGGTACACCCGCGACAGAGCTTGTGAAAAGGACAATATGAATGAGAATGGGGAAGGGAGGGGGGAGAGCAGAGACACACGAGGTGAGATATTCGATCACATTGTGAGCTGCACATAGCTAGTGCATTTCGCACAGAAGTAGATGGATAACGTGGATTATTCTGGTAAGACGGCTGACCATGGAGTAAAAGAATTTTGTAAGAATTAAGCTAAGTATGGACGAGTTGCTGATTCATCTACTTAATAGGTGAGATCAAAGAACTTCAAAAAGAAACGCGAGAAAATATAGCTTTGATAGTAGAATAAAAAGGCACAATAAACAAGTACAATTCAACAAGTCCATTTAGCTGTGCCAATTTCTGACTATTTTTGCGCCACACCGACTCACGTCGACAGCCATTTCGGGCTCGGATAGTGCACAACGTCGACACTGGCTCCTTTGCTGATTTTCCCGTTCAGTGACGCCGTCACCGACGGTCGCACGTCCATGACGCAGCCGCGCTCGTGCCATTGGTGTTCTTCGCGACATCCGCAGCTTTGCTGCACAACCACTCGTGAGTACCGCGTGCAGTGTACGCCCGGAGAGAGCCTGAAAACAAAAAAAATCCGGCGGGAAGTGACAAAAGGAAGTATAATAAAAACCTTGTTTGACTCTTTTCACTGAATTTGACAAACAATTTTCGGAAAGAACACTTATAAGTAGGGGAAAAAGCAACAGAATTCATAAGCAAGGAAGGGAAAAAAAAGAAAAATAACTCTCACCGTGACTGGCGGATTCGCCGATGTTGGTGAAGGTTCCTTTGCTGCTCTAGTGGACGAGCTTGCCGGCTAACTGCTACCCATTATTCCACCCATTCCATTTGTAGAGTTGATGTCTTTGGCGCCGTATCCCCAGCAGACGGAACTGACGTCATTGTCAGAAAGTACCTTAAAACTTGGGGTTGTATCTTGATGAATTAAAAAAAAGATATTCTGATCAGTAACACGTGGTTGAAACAATAGAGAACGCGAAAATAATCCAATAATGTAAATTTAAGACCAAACCTCTTCAGCAGTTGGTGCTAGTCCTTCTGGCACTTTCGTTGGTGTACTACCATACTTATTTGGCGTTCTATCCATAAAGTCAAGAACTTTATCGATCAGATGAAACACTGTGTGACTCGTTCATCTCATCATTCGACCCCTTAAATTGACTTTGTTGACGAAAGCAAACATAATATAGCCACTACACTGTACCTCGTCATCTACAAAAACATTGGCTTCTTCTGCTGAGTGTGGCTGCTCAAGCTGCATTGGTGACTGATGGGCTGGCGTCTTTGGAGGCTGGATCCGCATCTTCTGCACCGGTGTTTTTGGGGTCCAAATTGGCGATATCTTGATAGCAAGAGATTTGTGAGGAGAGTGGGCTAGCTTCGTTGATGATTTGGCCTAGAAAACACATATTTACTGTCAAATCGTCTGATTACGTGAATGAATGAAGTGATGATTGAGTGAGAATGAGTAATTGGAAGAATGATATACAAGTTTAGCAAAATCAGTGATGTAAGTGAAATTGTCGATACCCTCATGACTGCTTATGACGAGTTTATAGAAATATGGAAGAATGACTTACATTTGGCCTCCAAGCAACTTGATATTGATGGTGACGACTATCGATCCAAAAACTGTTATTGCAAATGCTTGAGTAAACTGTGGAGCTGATGGATCAGGATGATTGTGCTGGAGCAAGCTGAATAACAGGCGTCAGAAGAATGTCGATATAATGCAAGAAAAGCTCTCAGTGGTTGCTTGAATACTAGTCGTAGTTTGCGAATGCATTTTTATTTATTTTGGGTAGTAGCGTAGTCTTTGAAACGCTGTAAGTGAATCGAGTGGGTCAGCTATGCACTTTTGTTGAAGAGGTAAAAGCACAGACTTGCAAAAAGAAAATGGAATGCATTTTGTGTGCTAAATTACAACTCAGTAGTTTGACAGCGACGAAAGCTGAGCTATACATAAGACACCGATCAGCGTTAAGCGTCAGCGTGCTGGCGCTTTAACGTCAGCGCGGAACGAGTGAAGGATGAAAGAAATGTGCAGAGATTAAAAAAACTTGAGCGCTTTTGGGATTTACTTTACCCTTTTACGCGAAGTCTGGCCAATGCCTAAGGTCCCGGACAGACTTCACGCGATTTGATCGTCGCGATTCAATCTCCGCGATTTCCATTCATTCATTTTACATTCAAAAATTTCAGGCTGGAAAAGTATCACGACCGAATGCAAGTTGATTGGCATGGAATGATATTGTAACAGTTGTCTCGTCGCGATTCAACCGCGACGATCAAATCGCGTGATGTCTGCCGGGGCCTAACAGTTACCAGGGACAAAATAATTTAACGTTAGATTTCAATCGCGATAATCGGTTGAAGGCAAAGTATCGAAAATCCATAAACAATAGCCCAATACAAGACTATGTAGAAGGCAGCTGATCAAGTATTTGAAACATAGAAAAGAAAAACATAATAACATGAAGATTCTAACGCCAAAAAGGTGGACTGAAAGAAAAACAAACAAAAATAATAAACTCACAACGACAAAACCACGCATATGAATAACGGGTACCAAAAATCCGTCTCCAAAACTTGCTGTTTATCTGGCGTTGATTGATTGATGATCGTCGATCAACTAAAAAGATAGAATTGTACTGAAGAAAGAAGCGAAAGACAACTGACTAGAGCGATTGTGCTATGAAAAGTGGTGATGAAAAATTGAGAACTCAACGGTCACGTTTCCTACTCGTTCTTTCTAGTTAACAACTGAATGAAACACGTCGTAATCGATTGTTTTTCACTAGAAAGAACGAATAAGAAACGTGGTCGTTGAGTTCTCAATTATTTCACGAAGCATACACACGCCAAAAATGATATGGGAGACGCCGACTCGACGACCGGTAACCACACGGCGCTGGAATGGCTGGATTCGCCGTGGAGCGCGGTTGTCGAGCGGAGCGCGTTATTGGCATGGAACTTTATTTTTTAGCGTTTGATGAAAAATGACTGGTTTCGTTTTTCTTTTTGACTCAAGTGCTTCTTTTTCGCATGTTCACTTATAAGAGCCGCTCCGATTAAGTGCACATATAAGTACTTGTTTTGTGATAATTTCCGCAGTGGCAGTCCTTCCAACTGAGGCTAGATGCATATACTGACTACAGAAACGGGAATTGGTTGCTGCACAAATGTGAACCAAATGTAGGTATTGATATTTGGAACATATAACATAATCAACATCTCTTAGCTTGCAACAACTAGGCGAAAGTGAAGAAGCAGAACAAAAGAGCGATTATACGGAAGTGGTGCATGAGATGTGGTCGTTATGATTAGCAAGACAGTAATCCCTGGATACTTGATCAAAATAAGGTTGCAAGATAAAAGAGAAGATAGACTGAAATTAATTTTCCTTAATGGCACTCTTGTTCTTGCACATGTTGTCGTGTAATCCAATGCTTTCAAGTACGTTGGTTGTACACTGTATGGTTTGTGCATCAGAGAGGTTCTCGTAGGTACCGTCAACGTGGCTGCCTTTCGATCGTTTTGACACGTTAACTACAGCAAATTTAAGACGCTTATTCGAAGCTGACACGTTGAAACGATCGAAAGGCAGCCACGTTGATGGTACTGAGAACCCCCTCCGGGCACAAACGATGCGTGAGTCTCAATGCAGTAACACTTTCCACTACGGACTAACTTGGGTGGTCTTTTTTGTTGGACTCATCAGAATTTCTTCGTTATTTTGATCTGAAGATCAAGTAGTGTTTTCCATTGAGTTTATCCCTTCCCAGAAAATGTAGAACTCCTTGCATCTCTGGCCGGCATACTTAACTCCACCCTTTCCTTTGACACGCTATAGTAAAGTCAATATTCCATCACTAAACAAGATTCCTCTGTCGCTGTCCCACTTCCGTATGTTAGGTTCCCTTCCCCATCATGTTTTCGTGTTCAGCATGTATACTTATCCATCAGCACCAACTCCACCCGTGGCTCAGACTCAAAATTCAAAATAGTGATCGAGTGATACAAGTAGGCTAGCACACCCTCCCCGCCCAAAGTGCTGCGAGCATGGTTTGGTCCGAATCCTATTTGTCCAAATTGAAGTCAGGTGAGGAAATCCGCTCTAATCACAATCCGCGCTCCATGGCGAATCCAGCCGTTTCAGCGCCGTGTCGTTACCGGTCGTCCGCCGACTCACGCACACGTCCGAACCTGTGCACAATTAGCGTGCGGAAAACATTGGACGTGGCGACACCATGGACTTTCACACGTCTACATGGGGAGCACACGATCTGTCGCCGAGCAGCGCACGATCTCGACAGATGGTGCGCTGCTACACGATCTTGTGGCAAGATCGTGTGCTTCATACATCGCGAGATCGTGTGCTCGCACCTGATCTTGGGCATGTTTTCAACGGTAGCGAGCACACAATCTCACGATCGTGTGATTGATACATAGCGCCCTAGATAACCTTAGGTCGTTACTACAGCGGCAAGAAAGCTGTGATCATGTCAAAAATTTTTTAAGGAATAAATACGGTATATTTCAGTGAGTGTTAAATGCTATGCAAAGGTACATGGCTACGACTTTCGTCTTCTTAGAGACAACGATTACGATGAATTATGCCCGCAAAATGAGGTGCGTTTTAGATGAAAAATCCATTGTTCTACACAGGTCTGCTTATTGTTTAGCCATTTTTTCGACGACATTGCATAGTTGCTCATACACTCAAAGATTATGACTACATTCTTTTCTTGGATGCGGACATAGGAGTTTTAAATCCGCACCGGTAATTTGTCGTGATAGAAAGACTGAAGATGAAAGAAGTAATTGTTTTGTATTATATTAAGGCTCATAGAAGAATTCATCGATCCCCAGGCAGATATCATATTCTACGATCGCTTCTATAATTGGGAAATTATGACTGGAACTTACTTGGTAAAGAACTCAAAGTGGTCAATGGCGTTTCTTCATGGTGAGAACGTCTTTTATTCACGAATGTCAATGATAATAATCAATAAGATTTGGTTTTAGCTTGCTAAACACTAGCTCTAATCTCCTATTAAGGTTTTGCCAATTACGAGTCGCGTACACCATTGATGGCACTTGGTTATGACAATGGAGCGATACATGTAAGTACAGCACTGCAGCACGAACAAACCTGACGTAGTTCGTGGATTTTCAGTTCTTATACTCAGTTCAATATTTCCTGGGATATGGCTAGTTAAGCATAATGCCATTTTCAACTTTGTTTTACTCTATATGGAAAAAACTGGAAATCTGGCAACATTTGTGAAAAAACGATGTTAACTGACGATACAGCAAGCTGATAGGCATGTCAATGTGTTATCTTATCCAGACTATTTATTCCTTTAAAAGGATTGGGACAAAAGCAAATCAAAAAAATACAAGGCTCTTTTTTATCCAGAGAGGTGTTTTAGAATTGCATGCCCAAAAGCGTATAATCTTATACAGTATCTTATTCCAAATGTGCGACTCTTCTGTCGGAATAAAAACTTTGTGTTACGCACCCATGCCGTAATAGTTGGTATACAGGGTGTCCCAAAAAATGTGAACACTGTTTGGTCGTTAATAACTCCGCTGCTTTCATGTCTTTCGCCGAGCTTGAGGCACCATTCTGTAGAGTGAGTTTCAACTTAGATTTTTCCATTACACAACTTTTTGCGAGTGTTTTTAGCTTTCTTGACAGTGTAGTCACATTTCTAACAAAAGCTGGAAATTCAGTTATTACGGTTTACCTTGGAAAGAAGCAACACTGTAAAGCGGAAATTTGATATTCGAAATCAGCGGCTTCCATTGCCATGGTATAGAAGTTTTTGCTTGTTTGGTTTTGTTCCGAGGCAGAATATGGCCTACAATGGCCTGAAATCCTTCGAATTCCCAACCGTAATCCTAAAGTAACGAACAGCGATCGGTGATTTGCTCCATACCGCAAATCTAAGTTGAAACTCACTCTACAAAATGGTGCCTCGAGCTCGGCGAAAGACATGAAAGCAGCGGAATTATTAACAATCAAACTGTGTCCACATTTTTTGGGACACCCTGTATATTAGGTCGTTCCGAAAAAAATGTCGCTTTTTTCAAATGGACGCCACATCTCGTGGAACCAAGATCTGTAAGAGATCTTGGCAGCATTCGATGCAGCATTTTATTCTCTTTACAAATGTTATATAGCCATTGCATAATATTCAATGAGCTCTCGAAAAATTACCAAAGCCTACTCAGGCTTTTTGCCATAGTCAATTCGCTTATTTTTCTAAATTTATGTACTGTGGTCGTGTTCATCAACGAACCCTTTGGGTTCCGAAACTCACTGGGTAGGCTTAACCCACGAAACCGGTATTACGAAACTAGTGGGTTAGCGAACCCAGCATTGCTTAAGATGATTTAGTTGACCAAATATTTAATTTGATAGCATCAAAGAATTGGTTTTAGAAATTCTAAGAGGCGAGCTATGGAGAAGAAAAAATGTTTCCTATCCTATAGGGTTCGCTCTATCTACCCATTACCTGTATTTCTTCGGGAAATTAGTGGCCGTATTCATCAACGAACCCAATGGGTCCCGCCACCCAGTGGGTTCGCGAAATCACGAAACCGCGAACCCACTGGGTGGCGGGACCCATTGGGTTCGTTGATGAATACGGCCACTAATTTCCCGAAGAAATACAAGTAATGGGTAGATAGAGCAAACCCTATAGGATGGGAAACATTTTTTCTTCTCCATAGCTCGCCTCTTAAAATTTCTAAAACCAATTCTTTGATGCTATCAAATTCCATATTTGGTCAACTAAAACCTCAAAGAACAATAGTCGGCGAGCAAATGGGTGTCTTCGACGCAGCTTTTTTCCTCATTCTACTGGTTGTTCACTGTTTCCGATTCATAAAGTGTTCCGGGATAAAAACATCAAAATTCAGATTTTCCAAAGTGCATCAGGCTGGCCCGAAATTTTCGAAAGTTGCTAATCTGAAGCGGCAAATGCTCAGTTGCTTTGTTAAAAGTGTCAAACCATAATCCGTCTTTGTAAGTTTCAAAATCCAAAGATTTATTGCTTTTTGATGCATTCGTGTCTGCGACGAGCCTGCTAAAATTCGGTGGTATCAATAAAAATTCTATACAAAAATTATGACGAGCTATGAAAAGTAAAGAAAAATAATGCTGTTTCTTGCGGGTCCCCTCTATCCATGCATTACTCAAACTCCCTCCGAGGGCTGTTACGAAAATTTAGAAAAATTGTGAAATTTGATCTTTTCAAAAAGCACGGGTCGCAGATTTTGGTAATTTCTCAAGAGCTCATTGCATATTATGCAATGTAGTTACAACCATTGGAAGAGAATGAATTGCTGCATCGAATGCTACCAAGATCTCTTACAAATCTTTGTCCTACGAGATGTGGTGTACCTATGAAAAAAGCAACATTACTTTCGGAACGACCTGATATTTTGACGGAACAAGCGAGAAACAAAGATATTTGCCCGATACACCTACAGCATGCATTGCTTGCAGGCTTATTTGGCTTCATTGTTGTACCCGAACGACACTAAGCTGTCAACTTGCCTATTAATATACAAGCAAGCCTCTCACTTTGGAGCACTTTTTCTTTATGAAGCTTGCATTCGAGAGATATTGGGAAACAATACGCATTTTGGACATGTGGTGATCCTGCACAAGGTGTTTCCTTTTGGTAGACCTTATCAGAATGTTATCAATCAACATTGTCATTAATTTTATACTAGGGCACTGGATGGGCGCGAGACCATGTAATAACAAATAGTACATGGAGCAAGGAGTCTGACTTCATGTTCCACAACTGGAAAACTAAACATATGAGGACTTCAAATGACTATACACCGTGAGATCCCTCGCTTATGGTCTTAGAAACTTTGATTTTCAAGTCCCATATCATTATAGAATGCTTGCTGACATTGTTTCCGACTTTTTCACCTGGTACAATCC